TGTTCTCCATGTTATATTAAATACCTCTGTTCTCCATGTTATATTAAATACCTCTGTTCTCCATGTTATATTAAATACCTCTGTTCTCCATGTTATATTAAATACATCTGTTCTCCATGTTATATTAAATACCTCTGTTCTCCATGTTATATTAAATACCTCTGTTCTCCATGTTATATTAAATACCTCTGTTCTCCATGTTATATTAAATACCTCTGTTCTCCATGTTATATTAAATACCTCTGTTCTCCATGTTATATTAAATACCTCTGTTCTGGATGCCAAATTCAGTCACTCTCTTCGAGACGTTATATTCAGTTTCTCTGTTTTAAGTGTTATATTCTGTATCACTGTTTTGGATGTTATATTCAGCATCTCTGTTCTGGATATTATATTCAGTACCTCTATTTTGGATATTATATTCAGTATCTCTGCTGTAGATGTTATATTATGTAACTCTGTTCTAGATGTTATATTCAGTAACTGTGTTCTGGGTGCTATTTTCGGTATTTCTGTCCTGAATGTTATGTCCAGTAACTTTGTTCTAGATGTTATATTTAGGAACTCTCTTTGTGACGTTTTATTCGGTATCTCTGTTCTAGACATTGCATTCAGTTTATCTGTTCTAGACATTATTTTCAGTATCTCTGTTCTAGACATTATATTCAATATCTCTGTTCTAGACATTATTTTCAGTATCTCTGTTCTAGACATTATATTTAATATCTCTGTTCTAGATATTATATTCAGTATCTCTGTTCTAGACATTATATTCAATATATCTGTTCTAGATATTATATTCAGTATCTCTGTTCTAGATATTATATTCGGTATCTCTGTTCTAGATATTATATTCAGTATATCTGTTCTAGATATTATATTCAGTATCTCTGTTCTAGATATTATATTTAGTATCTCTGTTGTAGATATTATATTCAGTATCTCTGTTCTAGATATTATATTCAGTATCTCTGTTCTAGATATTATATTCAGTACTTTATTGTTAGTTGTTACACTCAGTATTTCTCTTTTATAGTAGTTACAAGTAATTTCTTTGCTCTGATTGCTACAATCAATACTCCTTTTCCAGCTGTTACATTCACTATTTCGATAATAATTGTTACACTAAGTTTTCAAGTACCTAAAGTTGCATACTTATGTTGTACTTGTTACACTCAGTAATTCTGTTACAATTATAATTGTTAACCCCAATCTTTATTTTGAAGTTAGTTGTTTTATATCACAGCCTAAACCTAGTATACAAACTTTATTTGCTGGCTATGTGAAAAGCTTTCTTACGAAATATTCATATTCATTATCCATCCATTTGAGATATTCTGGGTGAAATTTCCAGACATTATTTAACCGAACATGGGCCATATCGAGTGGTCTTTTTGACTGATGCTATGTAAGTTCTACAAGCAATCGTTAACCCAAAAGACACTCAGTTTGTAGACTTAACGCAACAGCTGATTCGCCTAGGTTCTTCAGTAAAACAGTCTGTAATGCAGTGGATTCCAGGTCACTGGAAGGCAATTAAATAACGGACAGGTTGGCTAGAAGCGGCAGTGACATGGTACAACCAAATAGTGACTCAACCTATGAAGAGACTAAGACATTAACACTATTTAGGATCCAAGAAAGATGGCTGGATACGCATACACAATTCTCTCCTCAAGATTCCCTTTATTGCCTCTTTAGACATAAACAGAATATTATATTCAGACTAAGGACATGGCACGAAAGACTTCGTCAACATGTGTTCAAATTTTTCGGTGTAGGAAACACGGAGACGTGCTCCTGCAACTTGACACCCGAAAATACTGAGCATGTGCTCCAACAATGTCAACTGTATGCTGACAACAGAGACGCAATCTGGCCTGTTCCAACCACAATGAAGACAAAACCGTATGGTAAACAAGAGGATATGGACTGCACGATAGCTTTCATAAAGGCTACCGGCTTCCTGATACAAGTTTTCTGACAGAAGGATCGAAGAAGAAGAAAAATGTATTCGTCTCACTGTGCTAATTGTACTAGTATTTTAACTCATTCCAAGTGATACACGTATAAACCACAATACAGGTCACATACATTATTGGTTAAATCTTCCGCTCCTGGATTGCCAAAGTCGAAGATTTAATCCATCATGATTGTGACCTAGATGAGATCAGTCACGGACAAGAATTGACGAATACACCAATAGACATGCATGATAACTCTAAGGTTGTCATCACACTAGGAAGGTACTGCATGGATCAGACTTCCCTGGGCCTAGATACGGAGGTAAGTGCACTGATAGATCAGCATTCAGACCCAGAAGACATCCTCATTTACACAGATGAATCCGTGAAGCGCGAATCAAGGTCAGCATGGGCGTACACAGCACAAAGGATGGGAAAACAATACAAGAGGACAGCGGCGCTTACTAATCAACTACGTCAAGTATGTCCATGGAGATAGCCGCTGCTTCTAGAGCACTAGCATGAGCAGAGCAAATAGCCACACCTGCAGTAATTATACCAGACTTTATGAGCATGCTTCAGAAGATAGCAACTGACGGTATGCCCTCTGAATGGACAGAAAGCATTCGAAAATCGCACTTAAACCCCCCCCCCCCCGCCTTCTCCCCTCACCTGGATCTACACTCCTGGTTATGCTGGTGTAAAGGGTAATGAGTGAGAGGACCAACTGGCAAGCGTTGCACCAACGCATGTGGAAACAAGCGTACACACTAGGCTAGTGGATAATGACGAAGCTGAAGCTTTGACACTAATATGATTGCGCAATATGGGAGTAAAGCATAGTGAAGCACGTCTTTGCGGCCTTCGAGGACGAGATAGGTGCCATTTTAACCAGCTTCTTATGGGAACAGTTATTAGAAATACCTTGAAGTGATTGTTGCATCGGAGGACTGAGCACGCATGGGATTTCAAGATGTGCAGAACGTCGATTGTGACAACATAACATAAATACAATTTAAAAAACACAGTAAATGGTTAATGTCTTGCCGACAGCACATCGAAGCTATTGGACTAGAGAGGCGGGGAAAGGTGGAGAGAGCCAGAGAGAAAAAGGATAAAAGAGAGCTAGATATAGATTCACAGACAGACAGACAGACAGACAGACAGACAGACAGACAGACAGACAGACAGACAGACAGACAGACAGACAGACAGACAGACAGACGGACGGACGGACGGACGGACGGACGGACGGACGGACGGACGGACGGACGGACAGACAGACAGACAGACAGACAGACAGACAGACAGACAGACAGACAGACAGACAGACAGACAGACAGACAGACAGACAGACAGACAGACAGACAGACAGACAGACAGACAGACAGACAGACAGACAGACAGACAGACAGACAGACAGACAGACAGACAGACAGACAGACAGACAGACAGACAGATAGACAGATAGATAGATAGATAGATAGATAGATAGATAGATAGATAGATAGATAGATAGATAGATAGATAGATAGATAGATAGATAGATAGATAGATAGATAGATAGATAGATAGATAGATAGATAGATAGATAGATAGATAGATAGATAGATGGATGGATGGATGGATGGATGGATGGATGGATGGATGGATGGATGGATGGATGGATGGATGGATGGATGGATGGATGGATGGATGGATGGATGGATGGATGGATAGATAGATAGATAGATAGATAGATAGATAGATAGATAGATAGATAGATAGATAGATAGATAGATAGATAGATAGATAGATAGATAGATAGATAGATAGATAGATAGATAGATAGATAGATAGATAGACAGACAGACAGACAGACAGACAGACAGACAGACAGACAGACAGACAGACAGACAGACAGACAGACAGACAGAGAGATAGATAGATAGATAGATAGATAGATAGATAGATAGATAGATAGATAGATAGATAGATAGATAGATAGATAGATAGATAGATAGATAGATAGATAGATAGATAGATAGATAGATAGATAGATAGATAGATAGATAGATAGATAGATAGATAGATAGATAGATAGATAGATAGATAGATAGATAGATAGATAGATAGATAGATAGATAGATAGATAGATAGATAGATAGATAGATAGATAGATAGATAGATAGATAGATAGATAGATAGATAGATAGATAGATAGATAGATAGATAGATAGATAGATAGATAGATAGATAGATAGATAGATAGATAGATAGATAGATAGATAGATAGATGTAATGTGTATTTTGTGGATAATAGTAGTACAATATTTGTAGACCAATATGCAGTGGGTGATTGGGTGGTGAGGTAAAAATAATACTGACCGCATTTACTTCCTAGAGAGTTTTTCATAGTTATCATAGAAGACTTAGTTAATTATGAACCCAACTGAATGTCAGAGAAAAACATCCACCACCCCCCCCCCCCTCAAAAAAAAAAAAAAACACACACACACACACACACACACAAAACATCCACCTGAAAAATGAGATGCGAATACTGGGACTGGATTGAAGTGGTTTAATTACAAGGCCATCTTCAAAATGTTTATATATATATATATATATATATATATATATATATATATATATATATATATATATATATATATATATATATATATAGAGAGAGAGAGAGAGAGAGAGAAGAAAAGCTAGTTGCTTATCTTACACAGGACGTTGCGGAAACGTCCCACCATCTTTAGCTGTTTTTACTAGGAACTTGTACGTTAAGTAGTTTGCCATTTCTTTGTGACGGTCGGCTCTCGTTAGCACTGTCAAAATAATTCAAAAAGCGTTCTACTGTCACATTGCCAGCAACTGAAATGGAGTCGTGTATCGCTGAATTACGAAGCTTGATCAGAGTTTCTAAGCTGCAGATGCCGACCGAGATCAAAGAATACTGCCTTTAAATAACCTTTAAACACGTTTGTATTCTACTATATTATCCTTTAATGTTTTACCATCAATAATGTTACCCAAACATGTTTCTAGGCTGGTCGGTGCGAAGACGGCAAAGGAAACTACTGGGCTATCCACCCTGCCAACATTCAGGATTTCATGCGTGGTGATTTTCGGCAGAGAAGGCGATCCAGAAGACGAGGAAGGAAGAAGGACTGTGACGTAAGCATGTATCCAGGCTCTAACGGATATTTACAGTCTCATGGATCGTCCTTGACCCCAGGTGTGACATTTAACCAAGCGGCATTGAGTTCTATATATTCACCCTACACAGAAGCCGAGAGGAGGTACATTTGATTAGAATGTTCGTTTTATTAATTCTCAGAATTTTGTCAATCACCTAACATTCTTCATCTATAATGCCATAGGCCTTAGCTTGTATTCACGCTGACTTCTAAACCTTTTCAAATAAGAAGAGAGGGAAGAAAAAGGAGAAGAAAAGGGAGAAGAAGAATAATAATAATAATAAGAAGAAGAAGAAGAGGAAAAAGTAAAAGAGGCAGAAATAGAGGAAGAAGAAGAAGAAAAGAAGAAGAAGAAGAAGAAGAAGAAGAAGAAGAAGAAGAAGAAGAAGAAGAAGAAGAAGAAGAAGAAGAAAAATGAAGATACCAAAATAATAGGAAGAAAATTAAAGATACAAAAAGAAGAAGAAGAAGAAGAAGAAGAAGAAGAAGAAGAAGAAGAAGAAGAAGAAGAAGAAGAAGAGGAAGAAGAAGAAGAAAAAGAAGAAGAAAAAGCAGAAAAAGAAGAAGTTACCTTTGCTTTTATATTTTTTTTAAATAGAATATACCTTGTCCCGATAGCATGGTAACTAACCGAGTTACCTGCGGGTCTTATACGCACAGATCAGGGACTCTCACATGAACACAATAAAATTGATAAAATGAAATGTTCTGGGAAGTAAATGCGGCTAGAGCGATTTTAGCTGCGAATTACAGACTTGTCTATAAAATATTGCTCTAGCACTGTGTAACAAATAAGCCCACAAGCGTGGGAAAACTTGGTTTATTCATTCTATTTTAATTAGGAAACAAGTTGGACCTATTTTCCTGGTGGTATGTAACAGATGCAGTGCATAAACCTATCTTAGGCATAATGTTTTTAGCGCTACATTTTGTGACGAGTACTGGTACCATTTGTTTTGACAATTGCTGGTGAGAACCGAAGCCATTCTTTTGAGTTGTTGTTTAAACCTGAACAAAACTTGCAAAAAGAAATAATTGTTCCGTTGGATTTTATCTTCGATGGAATTTAAAAAATAGCCTGTTTTTGAATTTTGCGCACGAAAGTTTGATTGTAATGTAATATTAAGTTAACAAGTTTATTCAATGTAAATAAGTTTACACGTTAGAATAAATAATAGCCTAAGGTAAAACACCCACAATAATATTAACAAAATTATAAAATTTATGGGATGGGAGAAATTTTTCTGGCACCTGTAGACTGTAAGGCACGTAGCTGTGGCTTAGTTAGCTGTTACCTGAATCATGAACTGACTATACAATATGTGTATGTCAGTTGAATTGATTCATATTTGTGTTTCATTTTTCTCAAGCTTATTGTCAATGTCATGTGGCGTTAGTAGTCATGTCTATCAACAGCCTCTTGTCTTTCAATCATTTCTGATACAAATGATCTTCAATTCCTTTATGTTAAAGTGTCAAATATCTTCTTCCACTGTCTCTTTCTGTTGCTGTTTATTTTATTTTTGCTTTCTCACCTTCACGATGCACACCATTTTTATCTTTCTTATGAAGACAAACACACACACGCACGCACGCGCGCACGCCTGCAAGCACGCACGCATGCAAGCACGCACGCGCACGCGTACACACACACACACAAAGGCAAATTGTCACCTTCTTGTGGTTTGAGGTTTAAACAACGAATCAACAGCATGGCACACGGGTGGTAACCTATTAGTCTTCCGTTCTTCTTTTAACTCAAGTCTAAGTCCGAAAAAGCACATCACAGAGGACAGGCTCTGTAGCACCTGCGAGAATCCTGAAATACTTTGAGTAGATTTTTAACTTTAAATATTGACCGGGCAGCACCGTTAGGCTACTCTTTTCGATTTCACTACCCAGAGACCAGGGGGAATTACTATAAGTCCAAGTCCACGTGAAAAAATCCCAGCCCTTACCGGGAATTGAACCAGGAACCTTTATCACTCAAGGCGGAACCATGCTTCGAGATCGGACGCCTGTGTTCATTGTTGCGCATGTAAAGAATCCCTTAGCAGTTAGAAACAGAGAAGAGAAGCCTTACAGCACTGCTATGACAAAATGTTGAGTTAAAATTCTACCCAAAATATATCAGGATCCTCGCCGGTGCCCCAGAGCATGTGCAATGTGCTGAGCTTCTTCGGTCTCAGACTTGAGTTAGAAGAAGAACGGAGCACTTATGGGTTACTACCCGTCTGCTATAATGTTGATCCGTTGTTCAAACCTCAAACCTTCCCGTGGATGTTAATTTTGTTGTAATGTACATGATGAAACACAGGGCAATATATTAGACAATAAATTGTTTATGTCCTCATAATTTACACAGCTAAACGTCATTCCTTCGGTTAATGATCGAAGCGACGTTCTGCAAAGAAAGAAGCTAATAAAAACCACACACACGAAAAATTCTGTAATTTTGAAATATAAATCCGAACGTCATTTAAAATCATATTTATATTTGAAGAGCATACAGACTGGATGAAGCCCTTTTGAGGCAGAGCGTCAGCAACCCATTTGTTAAGTGGTACCAACAAGGCGTCTCTACCCCCGGTTATGGTGTACCCGCATCTCCTCACTCTTGCAGTGCCGGAATCTACGCAAACTCGGGAGCATTACAATGGCCGCAGACCTATTCGGATACCAGCTCTCAGTCCATGTACCCAACTCTCAGTTCGTCATTTTCTAGATAGGTAAGTTTGTACATTGAGTTGATATCGATGCATGGATAAGCCGTTTTAATGTCTGTCTATTATTCTGTTCATGCCCTAATTCAAATTCTAATTCCCTTTAAGAAAAAAATCGACAACTCAACCACGTTCAACCTGCTGCTAGCTAGCCGAAGCTGCCAACAATTTCCGGCTATATTTGTGGTCTTGTTTATTTGCGCCACTTTCGTAGCTAAAGCTCTGCTATTTGCGCCGTCTCTGGGCTTAATGCCTTTTTCCTTCGTGTCAGACCACCATCATTTATAGTTTAAAAATTTTGAGAATTAACTTTGCCGAAAAGTGCTGAAAACAGATTTTGGTTTTCGATATGAATGGATGGTGAAAATTTCTGCGTGTGACCATTGTGGTCTTATAGTTGTCTTCCTGCAATAAGAACGGGTTAATCATGCCATGGAGATGTGTGTGAAATGTTGGGTGGAGCCTCACAATGATTTTATCCGTCATTTGTTACAGTGTGGTCCGATTGTGTCCTTTTGGAAAAATGGGAAACAAACGGATTGAGTAAACGAGGACTTTCAAGAGACACTTTCTTCTTCTTCTTCGCGTTCACCGGCTAAGAATTCCGGCGGAAAGTTCTGGTTGTTAGTCCACTTCTGGACTGCAGTCCTGTTCCAGAACCTGAGTGTTGCGTGTGCATCCGTTTGACAGATCTGTATTCAGACTGTTGGTTCCTTGCCTCTCAGGCAGATGCACTCCGACTTCGAAGGAAGCTCCCAATTAGTCGACTCTTACGACATGCTTTTGGGTAGGCAGTAGGTCTATTTTTGTTTTTCCCATAGTAGGGCCCCGGAACCCACACGGGGGGGGGGGGGGGGAAAGGGGACTTTCAAAAAGGAACGTTGATGATAGAGACCAAGTGTGCTGGACTAGATTCACCCCGTGATATCCAACGGTTTGCACAGAATAGATTGTGTACGCAACACTCAGGTTCTGGAACAGGAGGAGAGTCTAGAAGTGGACGAACAACCAGAACTTTCTGCCAGAGTTTACAGCTGGTAAAGGCGAAGAAGGAGAATAACGGAACGAAGCCCTAAGTGATGGATGATGATGATGATGAAGATGATGATGATTCAGTCAGTGACATCACATGATTAATGTTTGTATGTAATTTGTCATTCAACACTCAAATTTTATCTGGGATAACGTAGACATACATGGGTACTACAATTGGATTTTAGAACCCATTTATCATTACCAAGCAGGTGTTGTTTAACTCTTTTAATTTTGAAAATGTGTTTCTCATGGGATCACTGACTCTTATGAGTTCGGACAGGCTGTCGAGCCAGATAAGTTGTAGTAAGTGTTAGGGCAAAGTGGACAAATGCAATAGCTGGATGAAACAAGGGGAGTTCAGTAAGTTTTTCATACATAGGCACAACATTCCACCCCCCCCCCTCCGCAAAAAAATACAAAAGTGCCGGTAAAGGATTAAGGCAGCCTCCTTTATCCATACATAATAAGTCTAGTTTAAATATTAGCTTATACATTTAGTATAGTTTCAGATATTGTAAAATATTATTTTGCCATATGGAGCTGATAATAATAATAATAATAATAATGATAACAATAATAATAATAACAATAATAATATTACTAATAATAATAGCTACGATTGCGCTTTTAAGCTAGGATGAAGCCCCTTGAGTCTAATTGGCATTGGAAAATTGTAAGCTGTAAGGAGGGCGCTTCCTGCTACCCCAATAATTGTTATGTATCAGTGCCGCTGATTTCATGTTAGTTTATACAAAAAAAGTGTGGAGAGTTGCAGGGTAAAGTGTTAGGTTAAAATCTACCTCTATGGGGATTCGAACATATGACCACCAGCCCGGCAAGTAAACGTGTTAGCCATGGCTCTACCGTGGCTCTCTGATTCTGCCTCTTGGTTTAAACAATGCAGCGATAAACTTAAAATAAACAATTAAAAAGAAAAAAAAAATAATTTCTGGGCCTTATCCACAATAAAGGTGGGCTACAGTGCACCAGTGTTGTCTTTGGGAATATCATCCCCCGGCAAGGCTCCAGCCTCTTCCAAAGCGCGAGTCTTGTATCTACTACAGGGAACCACAAGAAGGGATTTTCTTCTGTTCACCACGGCAAACGAACGCCAATATTCGTGGAATTGTTAACTGCATTTGCTAACCTCTAGGCCACAGTGACACACTAAATAAATGAAAGGGTAATTGATTATCCAATACAGGATGTCGCAAACCTGTCGCAGCATTTTTTAGGGTCCTTTTCTTTAATTTCACTCGATCTCCGGTAGTTCCTCAGAAAGTCTAATAGTATAGGGGTGTCAGGGTTTGAAAAAAAACACCTACTTACCATAAGTCCACCCCACCTCCCTAATATTGGACTTTCCCGGAGACTCCTTAAGAAATCCCCCAGTTTCCTAGGTAGGATGACATAGAGTAAAAAAAAACTTTTGTTAGCTGTGGAATGGGTGTGTTTTTAACTAGGCATTTTAAAATCAGAAGTTTGACTTTGCCACTAAAAGGTTGGCTTTCCATACCATTGTTTAATTCAGCGCAAAGCGGTCTGCTGCCAAATTGCATGCAGCTGGAATCTTACCTGGGATTTAAGAGATATAAACCACGTTCGGAACCACTAAGACATCACTACTAACCGTTGTATAAAATGTTTTCTTCTTCTTCTTCTTCTTCTTCTTCTTCTTCTTCTTCTTCTTCTTCTTCTTCTTCTTCTTCTTCTTCTTCTTCTTCTTCTTCTTCTTCTTCTTCTTCTTCTTCTTCTTCTTCTTCTTCTTCTTCTTCTTCTTTTTCTTCTCGTTCATCGGCTGTAAACTCCGGTAGAAAGTTCTGGTTGTTTTTCCATCTGTGGAATTTAATCTTGTTCCAGAACGTGAGAGTTGCATACGCATCAGTAATACAGATCGGACTTATTTGTCTGCAGACTGTTGGTTTCTTGTCTCTCAAGAAGATTCACCCCGACTTCGATCAAGGCCCCCAGTTAGTCGACTTGTACGAGATGCTTATTGGGGAGGCAGGGGTTTGTTCTTGCTTTCCCCATAATGGGACCCCGGAAACCTCACGGCAAAAATGTTATCTGTTACCTGAAGACTAAGGTCATTTCACCTGTAATGAACCATCCTTCACTTACTGAAGTACCTGCTTCAGCCTCGTTTACCTGCCTTTGCAGGCAGACAGGTCTAAAAGAAAGGGAGCCCCAACGGATACTTGAAAGCACAACAGCACACTTGAGAAGATGAGCAGTTTTCCCGCGTATTGACTGGCCGCAGACTAAACAAACAGCCACCCCAATGCTGGATGATAATGCCAGCGGCCGGTCTTTGGTTAGTGCTGGTGGATTGATCTTACTATCACGAAAATTCTGATTGGGAAAACAAACAGGAAAACTACATTGGCGGCATTTAGCAGACAGCGATACAAGTGGGAGGATAACATCAAGAGATGGTAGGATAGAAGATTGGGTGCGTGTTCTACTAGCATCCAGGAACCTAGAGGATTAGTCCCCTGAGCTTCATTCCCTCAAATAGTATTAAGAGAGTTTAATGCGTGAGTTACGTTCAATCCTACCAGGACCTCACAATGAGCGATGAACACCCGATGACACAAAGTGCCACCAGTTAGTGCGAATCACCGGGTTCAAGTCCCAGAAACCGCCATCAACCTTTAGGTTATAATAATATCTCTACCAGTCGCCCCCTCCCCCTTTAAAAAAAAATCTATATTACTGCCCAAATAGGTGTACGTCTTGGAGTGGGATACCGCTAAGAAAAACCACATTATTATTTGCCTGATTTATTCTAATTATCTTTGTCTTTCCCTTATGGATTTTCAGACTTAACTGTTGTGATCTCGCACCAAGCATATATTACTTCTAATAAAGTCTCTAATCTGTAGTCACGCTAGCTGCGCTGACACAAAGAAAACTTTGGGAGGGAGCTCTATGACCCGAGCCTTGTTTAATGCGAAATATAAAAAAAAATACTGATAATAGTGTCACAAACTGCAAACAAATATAACAGCATGTTTGAAGTAATACATAAAACATAAAATTATGGACGTCTCTCCCTCTCTCTCTCTCTCTCTCTCTCTCTCTCTCTTTCTCTCTCTCTATATATATATATATATATATATATATATATATATATATATATATATATATATATATGTACACACACACACGCGCGCACACTATAAATCACAAACCCTTTATGTATTTCGTGTGTTTATTATAAATGAAGTGTCAACTACTCCCAAACCGTGACCAATACAAGGGTGATATTTTTAATTTGCCAATATGACTGCAATATTTATTTTAACAGTCACATTGGCGGCCAAAGTTATTGTGCATTTCTCTACTCATTGCGACAATCAGCAAAAGAAAACTTTCGCTGGGGTTAAATCCCTTTGAATATTGTTTCCTTTTACTTTCCATTAATTGGAAATTAAAAAAAAAAAACACAAATATTTCGCTGTTATTTTCCTTGAAACCACATATCTATTCGTGTCTGAACAAATACATTTGCCTCTCTCCCAAACTGCTAATACTGGTGTTAGCATTACATGGGATGCCTCGGGTGCACTTCGGGACAATGACTAAACATACGACAGCGGTAGAGACAAAGATGAAGTAGAAGACAGATATTAAATATCCTGTTTCAGTAACACTCTTATTTCCACTAGGCCTACATACAGGTCATCGTTGAAGATCAAGAGGATGTAGAGGACGGGAGAATAAGACTTTCTTTTACTATCCCGGGCGAAGCCGAGCAAATAATCTAATATATTTATATATAGTAAAGGACCATTTTCCACGCCTTTAGGCGTATAAGTATATAGCTCTAGACCTAAGTTTTATAGACCAATCGTCACAAGATGGGCGAAGTGGTCAGCATCACGCTTACCGCCTTTACTGCCCAGGACTGCACCCCGTACCCACTCGAGACTGGGTCGACCTGGGAGCCAAGGTCATTTTTGAAAAAG